CAATTGGGAAAGCTATGAAGGCACACATGATTTTCATAACAGAAGACAGCTGATCTATAACAAGCCAAGTAACACCAAAAACTCCTTGGGATTTGGCTTCCTCTGGAGGAATTCCCTGATCCCTCCAGGTAGTGACTTTGCCATAACCAGCTGAGTTCTTATGATATATTCCTGCGGCCCGCAGCAAATCTACAACGTGATGATTGTAGGTGCATTGTAGGTTAACAGACCTCCAGAGCATATTCATCTCATGTGTCTGGAACTTTGTCTATTGATGAGTAACTGCACAGTTCCCCTTCTCTGGCTCTTGGTAACTGCTGTCCTGCTCAGAGTCTATCAAGTTTTAGATACCTCATACCAGAGCGAGGTGTCTGGTAGACAGAAGTTTCTGTCCTTCCAGCACTCCCAAACACCCAGCAGCCACTTCCCAAATGACCACACAGAGGCTTACATTAATTATAAATGCTTGGCCGTAGCTCAGGCTTATTACTAACTAGCTCTTACACTTTACCCATAATTCTTATCTAGTGACTTGTTACCTTTTCTCAGTACAGCATTCTCATCTTGCTTCCTCTGCATCTGGCTGGTGACTCCTGACTCTGCCCTTCCTCTTGCCAGCATTCTTAGTTTGGTCTCCCCGCCTATACTTCCTGCCTGGCTACAGCGTTTTATTAAACAGATTTGAGTGACAGAGCTTTACAGGGTACAAGAGGATGACTCCACAGCAGTGTCTCATTTAGTGAAACCATGCAGCATTTGGGACTAGTTCATTTCAGCCAACATTGCCTCCTTCAGGCTCATCCATGTTACTGTACACTGGGGAACCCCCTTTTCCCTTTAGTCCCACACACACACTTTATTTTTATGTGTATGGGTATTTCGTGTGCCTGTGAGGGCCAGAAGAGGGTGCCCAATCCCTCGGCCTGGAGTTAGGGGTGGTTGTTAGAAACCGTGTGAATGTGTGAACACAACCCAGTCTTCTAGAAGAGCAGAGTTCCCTTAACTCCTGAGCCATCTCTTCAGTCCTTCTCTTCAAGATCTTC